GTGGGCAATGTGGATGCCAAGTTCTTTCGTGGCTTGGTGCGCTTCAATACCGCGAAGTTGCAGCAAGACAGTTCGGCCACATTGGCCATGCGAGTGAAGAGATCTTTTGACTGCCTCCTCTCCAAAGGAAGCGATGCCCGACGGCTTCGGTAGTGAACTGGATGCTCCAAGGTCGCACCGGAGAAGACCAACCACCAACCACCAACCACCCACCCACCCACCACCAATTGTCCGCTCCTGTGTCTGGTGAAGTTGTTAACATGTGGGGTTATCGGGTCCTATAATTTAGTTTTTGCTTTTGTGGTGATGGTTGTGGTTGTGATTGTGGTTGTTGTTGTTGTGGTTCGTGTTGTTTTTGTGGTTCGTTTTGTTTTGCGGTGGCTCCGTTCTTGTCGTGTTCTTGTTCTGGTTCTAGTTGGTTTGATGATTATTGTTGTGGTTGCTTTGTGTTGCATATGCCTGAAGAATCTGAAGACTTACCAGTCGTGTTGCGCGGTAGGCAGCAGTGAAACGCCCGGTTTTATCCATCGTGGGCGAATGAAGTGGAAGTGGTGAGACACATGGGCCGGTGGCTGCATCTGCAGCAGGAGACCAATAGTTGCAGCAGAAGACCAATAATGAGACGGATCGCAAGGAAGCGAAATAGGTATGTTGGTTGTCGGTGGAGCACACGATTCCATGGGCAATTACAGGACGCACGCAGAGCTTCACGGTGAATAAGGATGGTTTGGTTCCAGCTTGATGAAGATCCTTCGGAAGCAGTTTGTTTCATCAAGAAAAAGATTTTGCGGCGCAAGGCGTTGTAGTCGTAGTTGGACCGCGTGAGCGCTAACTTGCGCCCAGGTGCATACTAACTTGCGCCAGCGAACCGCGTGATCAGGATGTCCAACAGGGGGCCCTCCTCAACAAATTCGTGGGCACATTGGCTGGTGCATTCTTCAGCCAAGATGAAAAAACAAGACACCTCCACAATTACCCAAGTTGGTACTCCCAACCATGTCATGCTTTACAAAAACGAACCAGGATAAAGCAAGTAGTGACAACACACCATGACAACACCAAACCGGCACACAAATGGCATGACAAGAAACATGAAGCAACGAAACCTATATAACCCACACCAACACAAAATAAGAAACAACGACACACCCGCACACAATGGCAACACCAAACGCAACCACAGCGCATCCCGCCACTGCTACTCCGACCCGTATTCCCGACAAACATCCACGCGCACACCGCGAGGCCTGTCTTGTTTTAAAGCTTCTGATTCGCAAGCCACACAGTTGTCCGCACGGGGAAAGTCGGTGTAGGTGCGACAATTTCTCTTACACCACTTTGGGCCTTATGGATCCTGGTGTCTTGTGGCCGGATTTCTTCGAATTGATCCTAGGCAGTGTAGAACTCAATGGCCTGTTTTGAGCATGTATTCAACAAAACTCATGAACCAGAGAGGCGTTCACTTGCTTTTCACGCGAAAATGTTTCGCAAAGTTGCATTGCCCTTTTTCAGCAGCTAGGTCTCGGAAAGCATGTTTCAGGACCAAAGCATTGAGAAAAACTATTGCTTCTTTACTGTCAGGGCACAAAAGCTTGCACCATTCTTGCTTGCCACATCCAGGTCCATCCATATGTGCCACTACTCATCATGCTCAAGGGGAGAAGGAGTCTCACTTCATTATCCAAAGCATGTCCTCTATGAAGCTACATGAAACATAGCTGGGGATTTCTTCCACACTGCCACCTTTACAATTGCTGGCTTCCACAACTTATTTTCTGCGCGCGACTGAATTCACCCCCACAAAATGCGTAGCTGTGAGTGCGCGTAGCGATTGGGATTTGACTGGCTGACAGGAATTGAATTTGTATCTTTGGCAGTTGGCTGCTGTAAGCAATTTGTCCATCCGTGCACTTGCCAACCTTTTAGACCTCGTGCCGACTACGTTTTGTTGCCGCATAAAATGACCGGTTTGCAGCCCTATTGTTGCCAAAAGTTGTAGGTTCGGTTGTGGTACCGTACATATGCGACTTCGGAATTCACAACCTGCGACACGTGGCGCCCATTATGCTTGGCAGCCGCAAGTCTCAGAAGCCATGTGGGCAACAGATGGCACCCTCTGACTTCAGTAAACAGCAAGCACGGCGGCAGGCCACACGGCAAGACACCAACACGTGTAACACGGGTGTTCAAGCGCAGGGAGGTAGGAGGACTCCCAAAGCTGCTCAGACTATGCACTGCATCAAACCCCGGGTCACTTCGACAAAGCCAACATGCAGCAGAAATGTTCCGCTCGGTATATAACTCAGCTGTAAGCGAGCTCAAACCATTGGCTTCGAATCCAACGGGTGATGTCCATCTCTTGTGAGAAAAGCTCTATCAGCAAGCTCGCGACAGGCAAAGTGCAATATGGTGCCATGGCAGAAAGTGCTTTCAGATAGTTTTTTTCTGACACATCCAGGTCAAGCAACGAACAAGAAGAACCTAGCACGGAAGCAAACTTGCGGAGGATCAGCTTGGCTAAAGGGTCTGGACACGCTCTGAACCAAGTTACCAACCTGCAGCGAAGCAGCGAAGCGGCCTTTGATGCACGTGATTTTGGCGTCCAGAGTGAGACTGCCCGGATCTTCCAGGCTCTTCAAATCTAGAGATTGACCAGATTTGGGTATGTCTCCACATCCCTGTGACATCCCAAGATGGTGGGGTACTGCCAGACCAACACATGTCATTTCAACCATCTGATCTGCAAGGTGCAATATCATACATATGCATATGATCATATTCTGTACATCATCCAAAACAAACAATTAAATATGCCAATAAATTTGCCCCTTTGAAAAATACAATCTGTGATATACAGGGATACCTTCTTTCAGTCTCGGCTCAATTTGCGCGCGACAAGCAAAACATCGTCGGAGGCGCTGGCTGGACCTTGCTCGCCACCGCTTGAGGAAGATGCTCCATTTCCTGAAGGTGACATGAAGCCAGCTTGCTCCTAACCAGGCATCAATCCGTTTCACCCAAAACTCTTCGTCAGTGGCATGGATCTTTTTCATTTTGAAGTCCCCACGCATCCCCACGATAGTGTTTGGCACCAAAGGAGTAGTATCCACAGACTGGGTCAAAGAGGTGGCCAGGTACACTGACCACAGAATGGATTACACTACTACCTTGACATACCTGCAACCGGACGGGTTGCGCCTGGAACCAGAGGAGGATTCTCGATGCTGGTCTCCAAGTTGGTCCCAGCCTTCCAAAGTTCAGTCGACCACCAGTCGTCGGTGACCCAGTCGTCGGAACGATGGTTCCAATCACCACAATGGTTTGCGCGAGCAAACCTTTCAAACTTGCACCGACATAAACGGATTGCAAGACTGTGATACTCTCTAAATAATCAGAAACCTTGGGATCCCAACAACCATTGTTCCAATGGTGTTTACCAAAGAACCTTTGTCTTTTAAACGTTTACTAGTGATTTGACGCTACAAGACCAGGTCAACCATGTTTTTAAAGGGTCTTGCACGAGTAGGGTGCCTTAGATGTGTATGTATATATATATATATCATAAGGGGAGCGCTGTGAGCGGCACGTTTTTCGATGAACATGAGCATTTTTCAACCTTTTTCATGCGTTTTCTTGAGAATGATTGATGTGTCTGACATTGCCTGGAAGGATCTGCCTGGAAGCGCCCAGATGTTAATCAGTAAGATCGGTCAAGAAACCTACAGTGATTATGGAAAAAAAGAACCAAAACTGGAATGATAGAATGAATGACTCTACAAGAAACTTAAATGATCACTTTAAACAACATAGAACACTATATGCTGAAAAAAAGAATGTAGCAAACAAGGAGAAGATAGAAGACCGCAGGGGCTTATGGAATGCCTATTCATCACCAAGTGGATTTTACAAAACAGGTAAGACTTTATACATAAGTGGCACAGGTGGTCGTGATGGATCTTTAACAAGGGATATTATGGATGATCTGTAATTAGTACCTACTAGAAATGTTCATCACAGTGAGAAATACAAACATGTTATAGAAGCATTGGAAAAGTCACAAGAAATAACCCGTTTGGTTGGACATAGCCTTGCAAGTGCTGTAATAAGATCAATCAAGAAAACCTAATAGATTTGCTACAACAACCTATGCTACCCCTACAATAAAAACACAAAGGAAAGGGAAAAAAATCCCAAAAGACTTGACTACCGCAATCCATCCGATATTGTTTCAATTTTGGATGCTTACGCTGTAACTTCTGGTTTGAAAGAACCTAACCCTTTAATGAGCCACAGCTATATCAATTTTGAAGGGAACGGCCTTTGGAACATAAATCCCGGCACCAATATAAGCAATGGATTTAACCCTAATCACTCATTTTAAAAAACACAGTTAAACTTAATTAACATATGTAATATTATGGTGGATTACTCCAAGGCAAAAATTTACAGAATACTAAATGACAAAACTGACGATGTCTATATTGGTGCTACTTGTCAGCCATTGAGTGTCAGAATGGCAGGACATAGAAGGGGGCGGAATGGCAAAGATAAGAAACATTACAAATTGTTATCACACAATCACCCAAACATTCAATGCTGGTGGTGGTGAAATCAATATGAATAGTGTAAAATCATCTTCTAAACTGACTGGAGCATTCATTACCTTATTTAGAATTCCAAGAAGTGGTGAAGATCTGAACCGATACTTACCTGACAATTATGTATATAAGAGATGGAATTATTTTTACAATCCTATGATCTATGGAAGAATTAATGATACTGGTAATGCTGATACAAATGACTTACAAGGTAAAGGTTTTCAAGATGCCACCCGTAGCTTAAGTTGGCAAATTCAATTAAGCAATTCCCAGAAATACCCAGAATTTGAAGTGCAATCATTATCAGAAACCTTTTACTATTTAAGAAGAGCTATACATTACATGAACCCAGATCAAGACAGTTTAAGTTTTTCATATCGTCAATACAGAGAGTTCATCATTGGTATGTCATTTGAAAAGATGGCAGATGTCAATTTTACTGGTTATAATTCTGAAAAAATGTCAGGTATTACCAATTTTAGAGTTAAAGGAGCAGAAGGAGCATTATTAGACCCTAATGAGCAAATCACTGAGGTTTTTTGTCATTTGATTTCAGAGACTGTTCTGGAATTGAGGGAAAGTGGGAGTATTGTCTACTTCCAAGGAAATTGAAAATTTAAAATATCCCAGGACATCAAAAATCCAAAATTCCAATTTTCCAAAATTCAAAAAAAAACAAAAAAACAATTCTGCACAGACCATGGGGGGAAGAGGGGGTGAGGCAAAGTCCTGGCACAATTGTTTTTTTTTGGTGTTTTTTTTTTTAAATTGGAATTTTGGAAATTGCCTTTGGGGGAGGGGGGGGTTGAGGCAGAATAGGATTCTTTCAGTGGCACAAAAATCAATAGAAACACAATACAAATATAGAAACAAAATACAAACAAAATGAAACAATGCAAAAACGCGCCGCTCAGAGCGCTCCTTTCTGATCTCGAAATGTTGACGTTGCTTGTTTGGAAGACTGATTGCAGTTCCAAATGCGCACTGCAGGCTGAGTCCGGCACAACAGCGTCAGGTTCCGCGGCTGGCGCCGTTTCAAGCGCCGCTGGCGCCTTAGCTTCACTCTACATCTGAACATGCATTTCTTAATCATATTTATTAAAATATAAATTATGAAGAAATGCAAAGAAGAAAGAAATAATATTAACCGGCATAAATATTATAATGCCGGAAAGAAAGAAATAATAATAACCCTTCATGTTTATATCTTATGGATCACTTTTGAATATAAAAATGAATTATAAGAGGCATATAGATTAGATTAAAAATGCTGATGGCAATATATTATAGAAGTTTATCATTCATCTCTTTATATCATTATTATTCAGCCTTTAATTTTATAGGCTGTTATCTAAGAGATGAATGATAAAGTTAAAAGAACTTGACATTTCTGAGAGGCACTGCCAAAACAAAGATGACAAAATACATCAAAATACGGCAAACAAGCCAAGAACTCCAGCTTGCATCCAAACTCCACGTTTCCACTGCGAGACTTGCAAATCCCACCCTCATCACCCATCCCTCCAACGACCAAAGCCCACCTTCTGCGCCATGGCCGTAACGGCCCAGGAGTCCGGCGCGCCGCCGCGCTTCTTGGGCTTGGCCATGTCGGCCAGGCGCTCCAGGTTCACGTTCCTGGAGAACGTCGCAACGTCTCCGTTGGTTCGCTTGGTGTCGGGTTTTTGTCGGAGCGTCGTGAGTGACAAAGACATGCAAAGATGGTTCTGTGAGATGATCGTTTGATGTGAAGCACACAATCTTCTAGATCTAGATGATCCCAGATGTCTCACTCACAAGACAGTATGATTCAAATCATTCCTTCGAAACCGAGAGACACGTGAAGCACCACAGATGGGCTCCTTCCACTCGCTTGGTTGTACATCAAGCAGACCTTCTCTCCAGGTGACGGGTCATACCTCGACGGGCCATACGAGGGTTGGGATCCAGCTCCACCGTTACTACATGCACTCATGTGTTGGGAACCTCTAAGAAGCGCACGGTTTCGGATTCAGCAGTAGACACAGCCAAACAAATCATATCAAACCAGTGCCGAAAACCTCTATGATTGTCTGCCATCAAGGACATCTCATGTCTGTTTGCCGTATCTCACCATCATTCACGCCACTCTTGGTTGAGGCTCCTGGCCCCTTCCTGGTCTTTGGCGCGGACAAACGCGCAAAGGTCGCTTCGACGTCCTTGGCCTGTGCAGGTTTTGCAGCGAGACATGCTGGGTTTTGATGGATTTGTGGATCCTCGCGGTGGGTCATCTCTTGTGAACGTGACTTGCTTTGCACACACCATGTTGGTTTGACTCCGTTTTGCCGAACAAACCAAAAGCTTCGGAGTCTTGGCAGGGTCAATATAATCCTATCGAATTCCCACAAATTGGCCTGAACTCGTTGCTTCACTATCTCTTGCTTGGACGAGTGCAGTGCCTCAGCTGTACCAGAGCCTAGCATCTTGCTGCATTTCAAGTCGATTTCCAGGAGAAATCAAGATCAGTCATGTCGTTGGCAATTCTCCAAGTTCTCCAAGAGGTGTGTGTGCGTATCTCTTCGTCGCATGGTCGGGGCCAAGCCCCCAGGCGATGAGCTCTCCGGAGTCCGTGGCCTTGCCCCTGAGCGAACCGGACCGACGCCACCCCCCGACGGACCGGATCGTCACCCGAAGCCGGCGAAAGCGAAGAAAGGGGGCGGTTCGGGCGGGTCGGAGGCGGTCGGTGTCTGCAGCCCCTGATCACCGTTTTTCACCTGATGAGTCGGCCCCAACAAAGACGAAAGAGTCCCCCACTCCGAGGGCTCAACAACTGTCCGACTCGTTGGGACGAGGACAGTGCTCCGGGCAGACTGTGGAAGATATGTCGACTCCAGTATGCTTGCAGCCTGCCTCTTGGGCTCCGCAAGCCTCTTGAGCATGTCATCCAACTGACAGCAGCTGCACCATCGGCAGGTGGGATGTGAAACTGGGGGGCAGGTGATTTGTTGGACTGGGACCACTTGTTCTGTGGAGAATCCCGAGATTCCAGGACTTGAAGTGGCCATATGTTCAACATGAAGCTCTGTGTATCAAATAGATCTCCTCAAAAAAACAACTTTGACCCAACCTGCTCCTTCTCAAGAACCTTGCGTCCCCGTCCTGGCCGTCAGAGGTTGAAAAGGCTGGTGAGCACTGTGGCCCGGACCCCAAGCACATCAATATAGGCCGTGTGGCGGCCTTGTTGAAGACCGGTCACCTCTATCTTTCTTACCAAATTAAAAGTACACAGCTTTTGGGCATTGCTGGCATGTGAAAAGTTGCAAAGTGTTTCCTAAAGTATCAAACAACAAACAAAATCACAACACTCATCAAACGGAATGATGCAATCTTTTCTTTGGCGCGACACCTCCTGTCCAGTGATCTGCAGGAGGCTTGATTCGACGCGGTTGTGAGAGCTCCTCCTGCCCACGGATGCCCATCCAGTGACCGTCAAGGCTAAGCCGGCCAAGCATGAAGGTGCTGAAGGGGTTCGACTGGTTCAACAAATCCTTTAAACAAAAAAGAACTGGTTATCAAAAGACGTCCAGTGAAATTGAGAGTATACTTGGTCTTATTTTCAGTCGCCTGGCGCTGTCGATCATATCGGCGTCCACGAAAGCGGAGGTAGGTCTCCAAGACCTCGAAATTTGTGGACTTGCTGGGTAAGTCAAAATGTCGTAGCCTCGAGGTTAAAAATAAATAAATACTGTAGAAGTTGCATGTCTTGGTTCAAAGTGTTACATGCAGAAAAGAAGTTCCGAAGAATGACGAAAAAGAAGTGAATGCCCTCTGGTTGGGGTGCAGGGTGGCAGACAAACAGGCAGCCTGCATGACCGAGACACACAACTTTACAAAGAGACAGCCAGTTAACTGCTAGTTTTTGCATGTCCAATTACAAGTATATACTCGGTGGATGAATACCAAATCAATGGGTATCTTTGTATATTCGATCGATCCAATCGGAGGCTCCGGCCAGCTGCTCTCCGAAGCTCATGGGCACCTCGGCCTCCTCCGGGCCCCCAACCGGGTCGCAACAAGGGGATGCTGCATCAACGGGGACCTTGATACAGCTGCACGTCTGACAAATGTGTCCAACGTAGTCATGTTGCAATGTGGAGCAACTGCCCCCTACTCAAGCCAACAGGACAAAGCCTCTGAGATCTTCCAAGTCTATACCAGTCCTCGCTGCTTGCTTGAGATGATTCCTTGGATCAAAAACACTCGGAAAGCATCCAAAAGCACTTTGTTGCTCCGTTCAGCTGCAGTCACAATGCCCGTGAAAGGCATTCCTTCGATTGCTGCCCCTGCAACAGTGACGACCCAGGATCCCTGCACCATTCCCGTTCGGCCAATCGCCCAAACCATCTGAATCTGAGCGTAGTCGACCAGAATCAGGCACTCTCACACCCCAAAAGTAGGGGGTTATGTCCCGTTCGGTACAAGGGACCTGTCACATGCATCCAGGTGACTATCTACGACCTACGAGTATCTTGGGATGGACCGGAATGGATTTTCAAGATATCCAACACTGCACGTACTCCAAGGCACGTACTCCATGCGCATTCGAAATGCTTGCCGGCTGGAAGTAGAGCCACCACTCACATAAGTTGCCTCGAAAGCTTTGGATAATGTATGCAACGAATGACCACGCTGTGAATTCTGACTCAAGACGACTCAAGACCACACAAACAAATTTAAACGATGTTCACACATCAGACACATCACCAAAACAACACATCTTGAGGATTCATGCTGGGAGTGCGATCGTCGAAATCTCTGACAGCAAACCTGACATCCTGCCTCGTGAGATGGGCCTGAGGGGGCTCCTCATATTTTGGCAGAGATCCAGCATATTATCAAAGAAATCTTCGTGTAGTGGTCTTTGAATCCCTTGTTTTTGAATGGGATAATCAAACCTCAAGGCCACTTGAACAACTTGCAGATCTTGGAAGCAGAAAATGAAAAGACTTCAAAACTTCAACTTCAGTATCAATGATGATCCATGTGCTTGTCACAGTGTTTGTGTCTAGTGACCAACAAAACACGAAACATGTGTGATGACGGTCGGAGGGCCACCACACAAACCATATGTTCAACAAATGGATTTCCGTTTCCCTTTTGTCATTCGTCATTCTTGCAGTGCAGTCACGGTTGTGATCATGCGCGAGTTTGCCCGTCCTGCTGATGTTGAGGCTGCCATTGCTGCTTGAGCATCCTTGGGTTTCCAACGAGCCATTAATGGTTGGAGCATCTACAAAACGTTTCAAGGACAAAAAAGCACCACCCGTCCCGGTCCTTGCTAGCTTGAGCCTGCTGAACCTGCACGGCTGACTCAGGTGTTACGCGGGGTAGCGCTCTCGGCCGGTGTGTTGCACAGGTGGTTTTGCACCAAAGAGTGTCACAGCGCACCTTTGCAGCAGTCACCATAGCGCTTCACAGAGCTGCCAAGCAAACGTTTAGGCATCCGTTTGTCGACACGTGCTGAGTAGATCTCAAATAAACTGTCAGCTGTGAAGGTGTGGAATAACATACATTATGTCTACTTCGCCCGTTTTGTACCAGTAAGTCCACAAGACAAAACAAATGTGTGGGTACTCATGTGCCTAGGGCCTAAAGAGCCAAAAACATCGCAGGAGTTTGACTGGGTGGCCAGCTGCGAATGGCATTGCAAAAGCCGGTGACTCCCAATCGCACAGAGCTTCGAAACGTCCGTCCAATCTGTATAAAGTCACACAGGTATATACAGTTACACAAAGTTCTTGACACAGCAAGTAAGCCCATCATTGTCTGTTGCCGCACTTCCCGTTGATCGAGAGCAAACATATTCTGCGAAGTGTCTTTTCACCATGCGTGGATTGGTTGATGTCGGTGGCGTAAACGGAGGAAACGGTTCTCACGCGCAATGTCCATTGGTGAATCTCCAAATTGACTTCTCAAAGTTTCGTCAGCACCGGATTCTATCAGAAAGCTCCATCCTTCTAGAGTACATCTGGGAGAATCTGCCATATAGTGCAGCGCTGACCAACCATTGTCCTCATCAACTTGGTTGACATCAGCTCTGGCATTCAACAACAAACGCATGATAGTGACTTCAGACGTTTGGGCCGCGTGCATAAGAAGCGAGAAGCCATGCTCTGCCACCATGTTTGGATTAATCAACCTCAGCAGGTCTCGCAACTTTGCCTCATTGGCATTCAAGACAGCCTCGAAGGCATCATCAACCAAAGCCTCCATTCTTATCACCTTAGCATCATCATCCTCAACCGTTGCCACACCTTGGCTTAAAGCAATCTCCATTGCCTCGAGGAGAGGTGGCTTGGCAGCATGTCCTTCGACCAAACAGACTAAAGCATCCCACCACGCACCCTCGAAGGAACGCATCTCACCTAGATTCACAAGCGAACCGAATCCCTGTTGCGTGAGCGAAACCCCGCATAAGTCCCACACAACGCGAGGCTCCAATGATGAATCTTCTGTTGCTTCGGAATCCTCATCCGACTCTTGATCCAACTCCAATACAAAAATCCGCTCTTCAGGCTTCGCAACCCTCAAAGGCATCAGTTTTCGCCCCCTCAAGTGTTGTGGAGCCAAAGCCATGTCCGGTATGCGATCGTCAAGGTGAGGTGATTTGATACAATCAGCACCAGTCTCACCGTGCCATGTCCAAGAGTTAACCAACCCAAAAACATTTTTGAAGATGCGGTCTTTCGCCAGCGGCTCCCCGCCAACAAAGGCCAGAAATCCACCCTGCACGACAAAGCTGTGTAGCGCTTGATCCAATTTGGGGCTCCACAATTTGCGAGGCAAATCCACAAACATATCACAAACCAGCACAACATCGAAGTTTGGAAGGGCCCTGCACACGTCTGAAGGGCTACACATACGCAGGTCCTAAATCACTTGGGGTAACTTGGTTTTTGCGTAGTCGTCAACTTCTCGGCATAGGTCATGCCAATACCAAGACCTCCCAACACCAAAGCTCTCTTGCCTCTGAAGTGAACTGCGAACGAAGAGCGGTCGGCACGTGGGTCAAAGGAAGCGAGCTGGTCCGAGTTCTTGTAGGGATCAAAGTCAAACAGGGATGGGCAAGAATAACGAAAACATAAGCGGGGTACGCATGATTGTTTTCAAAAACAATCACTTCGACATTCTGCTTTGAAGTACAGGAGTGTGCTCCATCAGGTGCCTTTTAGTTCTCAGGCATCCTCAACAGCTTCGCCCGCAGCTCACGACATGCCCAGAATTTGCAGGCCATGGTTTTCGTGTGGCAGTTGTCCACATGCAACTTGATGGGGTCCTTCGTCTTGCAAATTCCAGCTGCAACACGACACAGGAGGATGTCCTTCACCGAGCCTGGCATGTCTCGGCGAGCGCGAACGAAGTGATTGGCCATCCTTGGGTCTACAGCAAAATAATGTCCGACCCCATAGACATTAAAGGTTCGATTGGAATACGCTGTCTTGAACCCACCCTCGATGATCTGGCGCACATCGTCTGCACCATGCCACAGCCACATCTCCGCTTGACCCGGAAAACCTTCATTCACAGCTTGGAGATGAGTGTCGTATAAAGCCCACAAAGTGGGGTTTTCAACTCTCTGAATGGATTGCAGCTTGCAATCCTCTGGCACTTTCCCATCAAAGTATAGGGCAAGAGCCTTCCATTCTGCGGTTGTCTCTGACACTGCCTGAGTGGATATCTCTTCATAGGAATGCCAGAATTTCCTTGAATCAATGCCTTTGCCACTCGCTTCCATTGCTACAAACAAGACCTGTGCTATGTTTCATTCTGAAAAGATTGCGCCGTGAACCATGCGAACCATGAGAAACGCATCTGGTTTGTGCGTGTGTCTTCCATTATCTTCGTTCAGTTGGCATTCAGGTCAACACCTCCTGCTGGTACAAGTCCAAGGTGTTCTTTTGGGTGTAAACTCAAATGCAAAGTACTGGAGTTCAATAAAATGGACACACCAGTGTGCTTCACGTTGTCGAGCCAGTGACTTGAGCAGAAGCTGCTGGAAACAAACAAGGCAAAGGATGTGAAAACTTGAGAAGCCTGTTCCATCGAAACCACCATCCGTTTCTTTATCTCAACAAGTCCCAAAAAAGCACGTCTGCACACATCCATTTCTTCCATCTGTGCCAGCAAGTTCTCCAGCGATTCAGGTTCTGGAGCCACCTCCTCGGACACCTGAGGCGCCCGCTTCGGCGGAGTTGGAGTGCTTTGACTCTTGGATCGCTGAGTCAGTGGAAGCTCCTTACAGCTGATGGCTGAGTCAGTGAAAGTCCACCAAATCATAACTCATGTCATTGCACTTTTGGACTGGCTGGTCCAAAAGTAAAATGCATTTCAAAAGAACTAACGTAAACAGTAAACAGCCTTTTTCTTTCTGGTGATTGCTTAATCCTAGAAGACCCACAAATCCTGGCAGCTGGCAACCCACAGCGACCCTCCAACGTGACAGTCCTCGGGGCCCTCCCAGAAGAGAGCCGATGGCATCTTGGTCGAATCGAAGACAGTTGGGAACACCGAGCATGATCGCACCGGTTAAAATCTGGTCATCAGGATGTTGAGAGATTCTGTGGAATTACCTTGTCGAGCACACCTCTCACCTCTGTCTCAGGTACAGGCTAGCGCGACGGGAGGCTGTACCCTCGTGGCTTTACACCTTAAAAGCACTCCGAAACTTCAGAGAAACATCAAAGAAAAAGAATCATGCAAACGGAAACAAACCAAATCATGGTTGTTCCGAATCGTTTCAGCCAAGCTCTCAAAACACCAAGGCTCCCCACCAACGCTCCAACACCTCGAACATCTCTCCATCGGCCACGGGCTTCGGTTCCGCCAGCGGCTCCGCTGTGGGAGGTGATCCCGCAGCTTCTGCAGCCCGAGGGGCCATGGGAGCAGCCCGGGCCGCTTGGCGTTGCTCCCGGTGCTTCCGGTTCCGCGCGGTGGCCTTGCAATAAATTCCAGAGATGAACTAATCAACTAATCAACTAGTAGCGTCCTTGTTACTAGTAGCAAGGCCAGGAGCCCCTAGTAGCATCCTTTATACCAGTATATAATCAACTTGGATCCAAGTTCATCCCAGTCCTTTGGCTGGACCCCACCCCGACCAGAATAAGGACAATAAGATAAAGCCATATATATAAAGCCCGCGCGAGGCCTCTGCAAGGAGGCTTGGCAACTGGAAAACCGACAGGAAGGGATTGTTGGCCTCAGGATGAATTGTGCTTTCACTGAATGATCAAGTCATAGTCATGTCAAGTGAACACTGAATTTCCAGGAAACTCCCTCCACCAGTACACTCCGCTTCCAAGACTTCCGAGACCGCAACAGCCGCCATCATTCGTGGAGAGTCTTCTGCCACCCGCTCCGACCTAAGAAGAAAACGACCGCTTCGCTGCCTCACCTCTGGGCACCTGCTTCACACGTAGTAACAAGTGCATCGCTATTAGGAACACGTGCATCGCCACTAGTAGCAAGAAGCTACTAGTAGCTACTTGCTACTAGTGGTAATGCACTTGTTACTAGTAGCGATGCACTTGTTACTAGTAGCAAGAAGCTACTATACACCTCCTCCCTGGTGCCCCCACACCGACATGGTCTTCCGTCGTTGCGCCTGCTGCCGCGCCTCCACCTGGGGAGGAAGCGTTGACGCGGACGACGGGACGACGGTCCCGCGGCGGGACTGTTTGGCCGGGACGAGCGACAAGCGCCTCCGTCCAAGCGCGGAGTTGTTGTTGGGCCCTTGACCCAAAGAGCAGCAGCACCTGGGCCGTTCAAACGCTAGACATGTGCAGAAGGGTGAAGCAAAGATCCTGTTGGAAAGGGCGAATCGCTTTGAGCCTGGCCTGTGTTTTGGGGGGTTGATGGGCATTTAAGATGTGGCAGTCAAAAGATTTATATACATGATGGAAGTGGGCGACGATGATGCAGGAAAGTCACTGGGTGAGGTGCATCATCAGCATGGTAGGTGGTGAAGCATGAAGAAACTAAAGACTTTGGCATGCAAGCATGTGAAGAATGTTCATGTTGTCGAGTTCCAGCGCAAGCAGATTGTTTCTTCTCAGCACCCTGTTACTGTTTCTTCTCAGGATCGTCTTTATGGTGCCGACCAGCCCTCTCTTCGTCTTTCATATTCCAAACTTTTGCTACATTGGGGGTCATAAGCAATATGTTGCTATGACACTATGAAGCACACAAGTTGTCAAGTCGCATCAAGTCCGTCGTCGTGCGTAAACTGACATAGCCCTGGGCCTGGGTTCAGTTCTGTTAATGTACCTGTAACACTGCCACCAAAACTAGGGCGGGGATTTGACTGTCGTTGGAACTTGTTTTGTAGTGCAAAGCTTGCTAGCAACAGCTGCAGGTGATGAAGTGGAACTGGAGGAATTACCTTGCAAAGAATCTGTTGCTATGACTGTCCTTCCTTCATGACAAAGCACACAACCTGTCTCACAACGGAAGAGACAAACAACACTTGTGATGTCAAGCATGCGAAGCGCAGGCTGGCCTGCTCTGTGTGTCTAACTCGTGTCTGTGTGTGTGTGTGTGTCAGTTTTCTCTTCTTGAAAATCTTCGTCACTTGGAATGGACACTTGGAACTGAAGCATAGAAAAAGTCATGCTCAGTTGTGGACAACAAAAAAGCACCCTCACGGTCCGCGTTCGTGCGGCATGCGCTTGCCTTTTTTCAAGATAGAATGCTTGTCAGTGCGGTTGTTGCATACTTCATAAATTGCACGTGTTGGTAGTTCCGGGAACCTATCAACGTCACGTCAGCATACATTTGGGTGCAATAGGCTTGCTCATTCTCTCATTTAAGCAATTGTGGTCAGGGGCCTTGTCCCATTCTTGCAAAAAAGACCCAAGTTGTTATAGTGAAAGAGATGGAGGTGATGTTTACCAAACAGCCACAGCTTTACAGCACAAATGTAAATGTACAAACATCAGAACATACATAACATAGTAATACGTAATACATATCATATATCACTTCACATGAAATCACGTCAATCAGGGTACCCGTCAGTACCTCAAAGGAGCAAACGGTGGGTTCCGAAAAGGGGCTTCTATAATTTATATCTGAAAAATAATCGCACAGCTCTTAAAAGCCAACAAGTTGAGAAGATGTTGCACAATGCTCGCTTGTTGACTGGTGATAACGAAACTTCCAGTGCAATGACATGAAATTGTCACTTCCCTGGCTTTGTACGACAGCTCTATTTCTGAGTTGCTCGCATCAGCACCATGCTGTGAAGCCTGCCAACATCAACATCACACAACGTACGTACAGGCGTTAAACAACACATGCACAAAGAAATGATGATGAATCACTCAGGTTGTTAAATGTGTATCACTGTGTACCAGTGCTTTCAAGCCATCACGAGAGTAATCCACTGTAAAGGAACCATGCTTGGTTGGCGTCCGACCGGCATTCCGGTCGTGCATGCTTGTTCGCTGAAAAACGGCGCCTCCACCAGGTCTCCTAGCTCGGTGGTCACCAACAAGATCTCTCTGGGCATCAAATCCTCAAAGTTCAGATCCAAGTGATCCAACTTCCCAACGGAGATCACTCGGCCACCCAGCCTGGCGAGACAAACGGAGGCTTCGTTTGGGTGTCCAGGGTTTTGAGAGATAGTTTGGAGTTGGAGAGAAGATGATTATGAAGGAAGGAACGCTTCAATGAATAACAAGCCGATGGACTGGAACTGACCTCCTGCTTTCCAATTGCAAGCGACCTTGGCTAATAGACGCGTGTTCACTATCGTCACAAACCCACTGCACGGACAAGGAATGATTCATGATCGTGAAAAACCTCAGCTAACAAGAACTGTCCAACTCTACCTCGCCATTTCAAGGGGCAAGCTCTTTGCGCTT